CATCGGCTTATGCGGCTCTGCTCCCTCCGGTGCCGTCTCGCTTCCTCTAGCGATGGCTTCATTTGCACCGCTGATTCTCTCCTGCCTCTCCCACGGCTCTTCAAGTTCCCACTTATGCCACCACCGGCCCTGGGAATGGTCACAACTAGTCTTATTTTCGGGGTAGGTCTTATATTTTAGCAAATGCCCAAAAATAGTACCAGGTCTTATTATCGGGGTAGGTCTTATTTTCGGGGAAACAGGGTAGGAAAAATCTGAAAGTGGTTTTTTTTTTTTTAATTGCTGAATTTGCTTTGCTTCCTCATTGGGTAAATGGACTTTGTCCTATTCTGCTGGGTTTGAAACGCTTTGTTTCCTAGCAAGTGAATGTGAAAGCAAACAAAAGCAATTTGGGGGTCTATTCATGAAGCAGCCGAAGGATCGGCCGAAGCTTCGGCCCCAGGAATCCTTCGGTTCAGTAGAACCGAAAGGCTGCTGTACGGGCTATTCACAATGCATTCCTATGGGCAAAAATGTATATATTTATTTTCTATACTGACACGGCTCCGGCTAAAATCAGCCACCCGAAGTACGGCTGATTTTAGCCGATATACGGCTAAAATCAGCCGTACAGCCTGAAGTGAATAGCCGAACAGCGTTCGGTTAACTTCGCTTTAGGTCGGTCATTCACTCGGCTGCCGACGCAGGAGTTAAGTCTTAAAAATGCATTCAAGTACCTTATAAATATGTAGCTTATTTGTGTATTATTCATCTGTATGTCCTCAAATCATCTCTGAATTGGTGCTGACAGTGTCCTTCCTTCTGGAGGGTGGCTACTTTTGTTCCTCATGTTCCCTGTGTGTGTTCTGAAGTAACCACCGCTCCAAGCTCGCTCCTGTGAAAGACTACAATCTCAATACAAATTATTAAACTAAATATGAGATTGTAGTCCATCACAGGAGTGAGCCTGGAGCGGTGACTACATTACAACACACACAGGGGCCTTGGCGAATAAAAGTATCCACCCTCCAGAATAATAATAATTGAACTTGAATGCTTTTTGAAGATTGAAATTCTAAGTTTTGTGTCACTTTAAGGTGACCTTGTCACTAAAATCAAAACTTAAAATAAAATGATCCTGCAAAAAAGAACTTAGATACCTGTCCTCTGGCCCACACCACCAATCTCTGCTGCAGTGAAGAGAAATTGCCTGTTGAAGAATATACATCGGGAGTATAGATTCCCTTGTCTCCCACTGCACATTGTGGTTCCTTCCACTGGCCCCTAGGTCACTACCGGGCTCAGTAGTAATGTAGGGCCAGTAGATTGAACAAAGCGCAGTGGGGGACCCGGAATTTGACAGATAGAGAAGTGCCAGTTTCTGAAGATTCTTCAGCCAGATATTTCTCTTCACTACAGTGTGTTTATCTAAAAAGACAAAGACTAGCCAGGTTTAATTATTTTCAGGGTTGTTAAAGAAGAATTCCTGGGAGTTAAAAAAGTTAACCCCTACATTTGGGCTACCCCCGCACTGCAAGGGTTAAGTGCTTGTTTTTCTCGAGGGTCTAAAATAAAAAAAGATATACTCACCTAAATGGCTGCTAGACCGTCCCTGTACCCTCTTCTTCCCCGGGCTCTGGCAGTCTAAGGATCCATGAAACATCACTTCTAATACAGTATATTAGAGGTGAGGATGCCGAGGGTCATTCCACAACCAAAAGCAGAGGGGAGAGAGGAGAGTTGTCAGGAAGAATCAGGTGAGTAATTCTTCTTTATTTTAGACCCCGGATAAAAAGAATGAGCACTTAACCCTTGCAGCGCGGGGGTTACGTTTTCATATCCTCAAAGTTCTTCTTTAAGATGAAAAAGCCCCATCACATGTATTCTTTCTTTATTTAATAAATGTATTCTTTCTTTATTTATTTCTTTATTTTAATTTTATTTAATCTTATTTTTCCTTATTGACAACATTGGGCCTTTCATCAAAAGGGACGTTCAAAAGGATTTAAAGAATCAATCTTATCCATCTCACTTTTCAGTTTGATATTTTATTAAGATGTAATGCCAGTTAAAGTTCAGATATGGGCAAAACAATGCAATGTTCTTCCAACTTCCTCAGTAAGGTTGACAGTAAAAACATTGGTATTAGGTCAGGTCAGATATTTTACCTGACATAACAAGGGATAAGGCCTAATTAGACACAGCAGGAAAGAGAATGGCTTTTCATCACTGCAAATCTGCAACATTCATTAAATTCCAGTGAACATTTCATGTGTTCTGATGTGTATCTTTACTACATTTACTATAGTTGAGGGCTGCCTTAGAGAAACAGGGAAATGACAATCAATGGATTGTCTATGGCTCTTAGTTCATACATACACTTTCATACATAAATGCCAAGTAAATTTTCTATTGTACATTCCCCAGCTCTTGAAGGCTGGCAGATGATGGGTCATATACACAGTACTAAGAGGACTGTAGCTTGACTTTTAAAAAGTGTGTTTCATTCATTGTTTATTTATATTTTACAGATTATTCCCTAGATTATAAATTGCCTACACATTTGAATTCTATATATTTGGCCTTCAACAGAATGCTATCATTTTTAGGATCACAGTACTAAGTTTAATTTTTTTTTAGAATACACTATTTTGCTTTAGAAATGAATGCTGCTTAGTATAAAGTGACCTACAAAATTGTGTCTTAATCCAGGTTCATGCAATATTTCACTGGATAATAATATACTCACCACAAATCTAACTTGGGTGAGAGAACAGAATCTGACCTGTTTAGCGAACACTACAGTCCTGCTGGAGGTGGATCTGCCTAGCAAACAGTATTGGGAGTAAGTATATACTTAGTATGTCCTTTATCATTGTCCATTATTGGTTCTGCAGAACAGAGTCAAACATTTTCCAGTGCAGTAGAGAGAGAGACAGACAGACAGAGGGACAGATTGTGTGTGTGTGTATGGGTGGTGTTGAGGAATGTTCAGGGATTTACATCCCTTAGCTCACTGACTTCCATGGGCTAGATGAGAGCTGAGGGCTGGGTAGAGCTGGAACTTGGCTTTGCAATAATAGACTGATAGTTAGGTAAGGCACTACCATGGACAGCTATTCAGATCTATGAGAATCTATGTAGATACTTCTTCTAACAACTATTCTGTCTCAACCACCCTGTTAATTTCAGAGCTTCAGTTGGATTAAACATCCAAAGGATTTTATTAAAGGGAATGTATATGTTTATATACCGCGTTTCCCCGAAAATAAGACACTGTCTTATATGTTTTTTGGCTCAAAAAAACACACTAGGTCTTATTTCCGGGTAGGTCTTATTTTTATTTGTTATTTTAAATGTACAACAATCCACACTTATTCATGTAGAAAAGTCTACATGCATTCATGTACAAAATATGGTTATCAGGGCAATCAGGGGTGCCGTACCTTTCCAAGAGCAATTTGCTAACCAATCGCTGGCCAGAATGAGTGCACATTCACTATGGATTCCCCACAGGCGGAGGGCATTTGGTATCACTCCGCCTGTGACAGGAGCCGACGCTATGGAGGAAACATCGGCTTATGCGTTTCTGCTCCCTCTGGTGCCGCCTCGCTTCCTCTAGCGCTGGCTTCATTCGCACCGCTGATTCTCTCCTGCCTCTCCCGTGGCTCTTTAAGTTCCCCCTTATGCCACCACCAGCCCTGCGAATGGTCACAACTGGGTCTTATTTTCGGAGTAGGTCTTATATTTTAGCAATTCCCAAAAATAATACTAGGTCTTATTTTCGGGGTAGGTCTTATTTTCTGTGAAACAGGATATGTATATGTATAATACCATGTAGTCTTCCATTCCCTCAGCAGGTAGAGCTCCATCCTTGTTTTTACATGTGAAGCTTTGTATCACCTTAATCTATCCTGAAAAAAAGTCTGTTGTTTACAAACCAAATGAATAAGTAGTGACTGATCCCATATTAGATGGCTTAGCCCATATCAGGCATATGGAGCTCTGCTACAAAGTAATCCTTGTACCCTGTGCTCTCTTATTAGCTAACCCGTGATGGTTTGGGGATCCTTTGGTATGTATACAAATGCTTTCCACTGTGCTGGACAAGAGTCGATGCTGCTTTATACAGTAAACTCCCCGGTGTCCGGCATTCATGGGGATTGGTAGATTCTGGAAAAAGGTAGTTTCTGGTTGCTTGAGAGTTACTATTAAAAATAGATCTAACTATTGCCATACCCCATACTATACCATATCATAACATAAACTCTGTATTGACTTTATATTAATATTTAAATTCAGTAATCAAAAGCAAATTAAGACAAATAGACACACTTAAGACAAATAGACACACGATCATTTCCAGGATAATACATGCCGCAGATCAGCAAAATAGTGAGTACACAGAAGATTTTTTTCTGGTTAGATGAGAGTTCTGGTTAGTTGAATGCTGGATAACTGACAGTTTACTGTATTTTAGTGTTGCTCATATGGTCTAGTGTACCGACGAGACAGCAGGTGGAAATGGCAAACTGAATTTTGTGCAGACTATATTCATTACAGACACACACCAATGGGATTCCAGAGCTTTCTGTATGTCCATTCACACCTATCCTTACTTTATACAATGTGGTCAAACATCCCCTGCTGTATTCTTCATAGGAATCTGAAAGACCACACAAGCAAACACAAATACACAAGCTGCTACACATGCATTTTAATGTCTTTAATGCTTAACCATATGGAATTTTTCCTTGAATTTCAGGAAGGTGACACTCCGTCTCTCTAGTGGGCTGGATGAAACTGGTGAAATAGTTTGGTATTTGGCTCTTTGCTTACTTTTAGCCTGGATTATTGTTGGAGCTGCACTCTTTAAAGGAATTAAATCATCTGGAAAGGTACATACATGAGTAAAATCTTTATATGTGGTATTGGTTAGTAATTCCATGGGGATATATTCTGTTCACTTCAATATATAGGCATCTATTCACGAAGCTGCCGAAGGATCTAGCCGTAGCTTCGGCTGATCCTTCGGCTAGCTTCGACACAAGGACCCCTTCGGTTCAGTAGAACCAAAGGGCTCCTGTACGGTCTATTCACTATAGCGCGTACAGCTCCCAAAGTCAGCCGAACGGCTCAGTCAAGCCGAAGTCATATGCTTCTGCTCGACTGAGCCGAGGGCAAAGCAGAGGGGACCTGAAGTTCTCCATCAGGTCCCCTCTAGTGATTGACAACAGCAGAACCGCCCGGCCAATAGAAAACAGCTGGGCGGAGCTAGCTGTCACTGCTAGCTCCGCCCAATCGTTTTCTATTTTATTTTTTACTAATTTTGTAACTGTTTTTCTATTCTGCTCGGTACCACAGAGGTACCGAGCAGAATAGCCGAATGCCGCTCGGCGGCATTTGGCTATTCACTCACTGCTGTTCGGCATCTATGATAATAGGCGAACAGCAGTGAGTAGCCTGCCGGAGGTTCGGCTTAGCCGATCCAGATGTTGGATCGGCTGAGTCGAAACTGCTTCTGCTGAGCATGTTCAGCCGACCCGAAGCCGCACAAAGCAAGCCAATGTACGTCTGATTTCAGCCGATATACGGCTGAAATCAGCCGTACAAGCCTGAAGTGAATAGCCGAACAGCGTTCGGCTCACTTCACTTCGGGTCGTTTATTCACTCGGCTGCCTACGGCAGTTTTGTGAATAGACCCCATAATGTTTTTACTTGCTTACTTATTTTGCTTGCATAGGCTAAAACCTAGCTGCTATAGTGCCCTTGTTCTTTACTCATGCTGTTTAAATAACTTGATCATTTAGCAGTGCGTATTCACAACTAAGTAGTTGAAAAACTACTTTGAGGCTGATTTATTAAAGTTTCAAAAAATAAAATAGGAACAAATGTGGAACTGTTGCCAATAACAATTGAGCAGGTTTCACTTTTCTTTGTATAAAAACATGATACAAAGTTTGGTCACTCTAGGCTCAATTCACATAACTTTCACACATTAATAAGTGTCTTTATTTTAGCTATGTGATAGTAATGTTCATCTGCCATTGCACTTAATAAGTATCCTTCTCTTGTTGTGTTAGCTCTGTGAACTGAATCTATTAATGCATTAAATAGGACCTTCTTTCCTCAAAATACATACTCACCTGTTCAGTGAATTCAGCAATGTCCTGCTGCAATCCGCAGATCTGCCACAGCACACCAAGTTCCGTGCCCGAGTCTTAATTTCTTATATCATTAAGGGGGCGCTGTGCCCCCTTCTGTTTTTGTGAAGCTGGTCCTTGATGACGTGCTATGGCACATCCACATCAGGGGCCAGCTGCAAGAACCAACTAAAGACAGACAGCCCACTGGTGAAGTGCAGTAAAGGGAGGGCAAAGGTTTTAGTATAGATCCCTGCATTAAAAATATCAGTTTTTGCTTAGGGTAGACTGGGTTTTTCTGCCCCACATAGACTGGAGGAGGTAGAACTCACAGGAGCAGGGATTTTATATGCCTCTTGCTGCCTCTTGGGGACATATAAGATGTTTACCTGCAGACCCTTGTGAAGTAGTACAAGTTTCCATTCAAGAGGTCCTGCTCCTCTTCCATGCCTATGAAGTATAAAAAGAGCCCTGTGTGCCCTTAACATGGGCCAGTGCTTTTTGAAAAAAAACCATGCTGATTTTCTATTCCTTTATAATGACACAGCAGTCTGATGCTGATTAGTATATAGGTTAAAAAAGGTTTGTATTAACATAGCAGGAAATCTGCATGTCCAAGCCCTCCAATTTTAGTTATAGCAGCTGAATTCTATCTATCTATCTATCCTATCTATCTATCTATCTATCTATCTATCTATCTATCTATCTATCTATCTATCTATCTATCTATCTATCTTAGTTTCAGGTTGTGGTATTGTTTAGACATGAGAGTGATATAGTAACACTCTCAAGTGATTCTGTGCCTTAAAGCAGTGGTTCTCAACCTGTGTAACCTCAGGACCCACACTTGTCCTTGGTCATTAAGTCACGACCCAAGTCGCACTGCAATGCAATACATGGCATTGCGGTACCAGGCGTTTGAGTGCAGGCGATCAGACTGTGGGTGGGAGGTGTATTTCGGGGGTCATTCAAATTAATGGCAACGCAATGCACCTTCCTCCAGAATGCGCAGTAGGTGCTATTACATGGCACAGTGCATTAATCGTTTGGGACAGTGTACTAGTGTGAACGGACCCACAAAAACACTGACAGACCCTCAAAAACCACAGACATTCTGACACATAATCACACTTAAAAAAATGTATACATCTTTTTTTTAGATCCACTCAGTCTCCCTACCTTATGGGAACTGAAGTGGAGCCTCAGTCTGAGGTCCAGTGTGGGCAGCTCTGCATTGTTTGTACAGCTCCCCTGTGTGCACTGTAGAGGTGTCGGGAGCCAGAATGTGATGTCCATCCAGTCCAGGCACCTCTACAGGGCACATGAGGGAGCTGTAAGAAAAGCATGTATTAGTGGAGCTCCTTAAGGCCATACTTCCAGCCCACCCCACCTCAAGCTGACACAGTTCCGGGCAGCATATTTTGAATGGTTGCTCAGTGTGAGAACTGACAGTGCAGTGCTGGGAGGAGGCTGAGGAATCTCTCGCCTAGAAAAGTGGAAGGCATGTGGCGACCCACGGAACATAGGGTCGCGACCCACTTTTGGGTCACGACCCGCCAATTGAGAACCAAGGCCTTAAAGTATTAATTATGTCTTGATGTCATAGTAAAAGGGTTATTAATGTCTATTTAATTTCAGGTGGTATACTTCACTGCAGTGTTTCCTTATGTTGTCCTTATAATACTGTTGGTTCGAGGGGCAACTCTCGAAGGAGCAAGTCTTGGGATTGACTATTATATTGGAACGCAATCAAACATTACAAAGCTAATGGATGCAGAGGTGGGTTCACTGTGTCTTTATGTCTCCTATAGATTGCTTACAAATATGTATCTATATTTGGAATATGTAGGGATTTGTTAAGAACCGCCATTGAAAAACAGAGACATTGATATTTCATTGAGATGCTATCAGTAGATCAGCCTTAAGCGATTATGTGCAAAACCAGACATTTTACAATCATAATCAGCATATACAGATAGTATTCAGCGAACGGATGTATAGTTACTAATTAACAACCAATAAAACTGTATTTTTTATTACATAAGTGCAATCAGGACAGTCAAAGGTGGCTTGAGATTGGCTGCTATGAATTACTGCAATTCAGAAATCTCTCTTCATCTTAGTAATTAAGTATCATTCCTACTGGGTAATAAACAACAAAGCAATCTCTTACAAGGTTCTCCATGTTGTGATTTATCAATAGTAAATTTCTGTTGACGCACTCGTTCTCTGTCTGAGCTAGACAGGATGGTTCCATGAATTCATGCTTTGGGCCCAAAAATGTGTCCCTACTATATGCATGTCACTGTAGGATTTTAAATTTGTCAGCCCTGTTAACATCCTCCATGATATAGTTGTCCTGTTTTGGATATCATGTGCTCCCTGTAGCCTTGTGTTCCTGTTCTTAGCTGGATTGGATTGATATGTAATCTTCTGAGAAGGTACGTGGTCTTCTACTGCTGTAGTCCATCTTCTTCAGTGCTCAACATGCTGTGCCTTTCCACACACCCTGTTTAGTTTAAAAAATGTGTTACTATTTTCCTCTCTCTTAATTTTTTTGGCCAACAGAACTGCCACTTGTTCGATATTTGTTGTTTTTCATACCATACTTTGTAAACTAGTGTACAAATTCCACAATCAACCAAGGTGTCTGACACCAACTATCATTCTATGGCTATAATTGCTTTGATCCCACAGTCTGCCAATGTAAATTCATATTGAACAATTACTGAACCTCCCAAGCATATCTGTACGGTAAATATTTTGAGTTGCAGCCACATGATTGATTAGAAAGGGTATTGGGTATTGAGTGCATATTAGTCACTTTTCTAATTTGTCAATTTGCAGGTATGGAAGGATGCTGCCACCCAGATCTTCTTCTCGCTCTCAACAGCCTGGGGTGGACTTATTGCTTTGTCTTCATACAACAAGTTCCACAACAACTGCTATACAGATGCCATCATTGTTTGTGTGACAAACTGTGGCACTAGTGTGTTTGCAGGATTCGCCATATTCTCTATTTTGGGACATATGGCTTACATTTCAGAAAAATCTGTGTCTGAAATAGTAGATTCAGGTATGTACAAGAACTGTATATGTGTACGAGTAAATCTAATTAATAAAAAGCGTTTTTCTATTTCTCGTTACAATAGCATCAGAAACATTTCTTATTAACCTTCTGTTGTGAAGAGCTATAGATTAGGTTTTTCTTTTTTTTGGATGAAATTCCCCTGATAGGAGAATCCCTGAACTTGGGAGTAGATAAAAGAATGTTTTCTAAATCACATGACATTTCAGACATCTAAATTCCAGTCAACTAAGGTAATCCAGTAAAGTTGAAAACCCCAATATTATTTCAATGTTTGGGCTGAAGTATGCACATATGTGACTTGTATGAGGGCATGTCATAATTGTATATTGATAATTTCATTATATAATAGTTTCTCAACAAAAGACATAAAAAGGAAAATGTGTTGTATTTGTCAGTCATACTATCAGCTTATATATGATTTTTTAATTTTATTTTTACTGGGTTCTCTGTTCCTTTTGAAAGATCCTTTAGATATGTTAGGTGTGATAGCTTCATTGCTGTCTGTGTCCCTGCTGGATAAATCCACTCTCTCTGTTTGTCCTGGTGGCCATTTTCAGAAACAAAAGTGATAGGAAATGCAATATCTTGGGTTGTCACCAGAACAAGTGGTTAGGCTTCCAATTTTCCAAATTGGGACACCTGTTTTAAAAAAATTTTAATTGTCCCCTCATTTTTTAAAAATGTCCCCTCACTTCCTGTTATATCTCCTGAATAAAAAGTGAAGGGAAATTTCTAAAACGGGATACAGACAGCAAATAATAATCTGTATCCCAAACAAAAAAAAAGTCAAAATATAAATACATGTCAGAAACAAATTAAACCCCAACCCCAGCCAGCACTTTTAGACAAGACTTTTATAGAAATGGAAAAAAAATATAAACCATATGAATAAAAGGTGACCATTGTACACACTACCAGCAGTGTTATTTGGTTTGCACTAATCCCTGTATCTGTCACTTTTAATGGCTAGCTTGGCCTGTTAGAGGATGTTTTGAGAGAATGCATCTGAATTGACTTGGATGGCAAACTACAGGTCAATGTACCCAAAATTCAGCCTACAGGCATTTTGCTGACACTGCAATTTGTCATGAACAGACTCTTGAATTGTTTTTCTTATGTCCATGGCTTTTGTCTGCTCTTGAAAATTTTGCAAACTGCATGACAGCTTTTCTGGTATATGCAAACTCTCTTCCAACCTCCTTCTCTCTACAACCTCTCCCCTTCATTAAATACAAATATACATACTGTGCCTTGACACATTGTATTGACCTTTGCGTTACATGCACTGAGTTTACTTCTCTTTAAACTTTCATTTAGGCTTTGGTTTGGCATTTATTGCTTATCCGGAAGCTTTAAGCCAGCTGCCAGTTTCTCAACTTTGGTCATTCCTGTTCTTCGTCATGCTACTTACACTGGGCCTGGACTCACAGTTTGCATTGATTGGTAAGAACAAGTTTGAAAAGATTGGGATATTAAAAAGCATATTTATTTGGTTCGCAACAGTGGAGACAGTCACTCATGCAGTACTCATTGTGGTGCTATTTTTGACTTGCATTCTAGGTAGAGGAAAAAAAGAATGCGTCCTGCAGTTCTTCTAATTGTCCCTAGGTTGTAACACTAAAACATCACAAACAAGGTTAACACTAAAATAATCCCTAAAGCAGAACTCTAAAAAGCTAAAAACACAGATGAAATTATATATGAGAGCTAGTTAACCTGCCAAATGATTTGTATTTCTGTTTATCCAGTTCTAAGATTTACACAGCTATGCCAAACAATGCAGTAGATTCACTATTTCTGTTTGTCCTGGTGACTATTGGCAGTTGGACTGGAAGTGAGTGAAGAAGCCAAGATTTTAAGTTGTAACCAAAACAGGAATTGAGAGGAAATCTTCCAGTAGGGACAATTGTCCCGGTGACAACTGTCTAAGCCTGGCCATACACTCTTGATTCCCCTTCACCTGGCTGTTGTATTCTGACAGCTGTGGGTGTGCTGCAATAGGAATACCCAAAAAGTAACTGCAGCTACAATCACTGTTTGACCAAGAATTTTCGGACTGGCTCCTTCACAAAAAGTCAATTAAAAAATGGACTCTTGATGAACATAGGGGTCCCAGCAGGGCAAAACACTGGTTGAATTCCAGCCGATTCGGCAAGCCAGCTCAAGAAGGGTTTTCCTCACTAATCCTTAAGCACACCACTTAACACCTACTGGGCTATTCACAAAAGGGTGAAGAGTTTGGAGAAGGCAGGAGAAGTGAACAATCTAGGCTAAAATAGCTGAATTGGGAAAATTCAACAATTCAGCTCACTTTCCAGTTCAGCTATGTTGTCCTAGATTGTTCACTTCTCCTGCCTTCTCCAAACTCTTCACACTTTTGTGAATAACCCTTCTAATGTGAGCCATTACCATTTGACTTCCTCCTCAAAACTTAGCCCTATAATTTGCCTCTGCACTGAACTGACAGTAGCCAAAGCTAGCAATACGTCACCCAATCTAGCAAATTACTAACAGCTACTAATACCACTTTTGAAGGCCATTTATAAGTCCAGTTATATTTGAAAGCTCAGCTTTGAAAGACATCCAGCAAAAAAACTTTAAACACTGTGTAATGCTACCTCTCAGTCTGACCAAACACCAAAGTTTGGTCAGATGTGCAGCCTTCATCAGAATCAGAGCATGCCAATTATTGTTATACTACTGGCCATGGGTTATCATGAGTAAAAAAAATCTAATTTGGGAAAGGTTCCCTAACTTATGCAATCACTTGTTTCCACCAAAGGCAATTGATGGGGTGTAAATTCACCTACATACATGGGATCATCACTGGATTTGGATGAAAACTACTGTCACCTTATGTTTATGGTTCATTAAATCATAGCCTGAGGGAGGCAAGTAAGATAACTACAACTATTTTTATGTTATGCTTCTGTAGGTGAGGTAGAACATCAGAAACAAGCTAGGCAAAAACAAGTATCCTGGATTTAATAAACAAGGACTTGTACAAGGGTAAGAGTGGTTCTGCTAGTTTTCAGTGAAGAGCTCTTGGCACTAGGAATAGTAGCAAACACCAAACTTCCCCTAAGTGGCACTAAATCCCAAACTACCCCTACATTAAATTGTTACATTTAATCCTCCTGGAGCCCTTTACAGAGCTGTCTTGTGGGCCTCACATCCAATCCTCCTACATTCTAAGCACACGTTTGGAACCAGTTATAACAATAAAATTCAGATAAGTGATAGTTATACTATGCTAATAAACCTACCTGTCTGTTTTTGGGAATAAACAGGAACATTTAAACATGGGAAGAACATAAAAAGCTTCATGTAGATAGTGTCCCAACAACACTATAAATGAGCTTAGGAACCTGTTGCGGCAAGACAGTGTTAACAATTAATATGCTGTCCAGCCCTTCACTAGGAAGTTTTTTTTTTATATATTTTATGTCTCTTACAGAAACTATAACAACATCAATACAAGATGCATTTCCTGAAGTCATGAAGAAAAGACGGGCTATAATCACAACTTGCTGCTGTTGTGTTCTTTTTCTTCTTGGGTTGGTCTGTGTAACTCAGGTATTGCTACTGCTGCCTCACTGATACTCCTTGTACCATCCAGTTTTCTACCTATCATTCATTGCAAGGAAATCACTGCGCAGAAGCTTCACGATTACAATAAATGATCTAACAATGGACCAAACAGAAAATAAATCCAGACAATATATATACTTAAAAAATATTATCCTTTATAAATAATTTTAACAATATTGGTCATAAAACAGAAACCCAGGCTGTTTGTAACCTTAGACCTTCTGATTATGAAATATGAAACAGTTTTTGTCCATTGTGTATACTCTTAAAAAAAATTATTTAAAAAATCCTAATTTGCATCTAACTTCTAAAAAGTACCACTTGAAATGCTTTGGCAAATTAAAAATCTACTACAATTAGAAGTTTACTGATTTTTTTCATTTGTTGCCTGGTAATGCTCTATGCAGTGCAATATCTTTTTAATCATGACTTCATACTGGTTATCAGTTATTTTGGTAACATTTCCCTAAAGAAAGGAGAATTACCATACTTGATCCAGTGTTAACATACTATTATGTTTGTAAGCTACTCCTCACTTTCATCCTGTAATTATTGGATACTGCAATGTTAACCCTTGCTCTTTTCTGCAGGCAGGAATTTACTGGGTAAATTTGATTGACTACTTCTGTGGTGGATGGACCCTTCTCTTTGCTGCAGTCCTGGAGTTAGTGGGAGTTTGCTGGATTTATGGTAATATATTGACAGTGTTCTGTACCCGTGTGGCCAGAGACTTCCAAATTCCATTGAAGATAGTTAAATTAAGCAAATTTGTATAATTCTCCTAATGGGCAAAATAACAGGTTATCTGCAAATCATGCACCACCATGATGGATGAGTTCAATCCCCTTTAGGCCCTTGCAGGGGAGCAAGCCTGATACCTGCTTCGATATATAGACAAAGTGTAGGTTTTAATTACAGTGTATCTAAAACTAAAACATTTTTTGTATAGTGTGGCGAAGAGCTAGAACCACTGTCAGGTTTTTATTGGTGTCTGTACCTCAACTGGGGAGATTCAGGCTCACTATCTCTCCTGTTAACCTTTACCTTTGGCAAAGATAGGTTATCATTGAACCAGGTGGGAGAGGAAAACTTTCACTAGAAACACCTATTCTGGTGACAAATGTCTCACTTTGGATAGATTTCCTTTCACTCCCTGCTGCATCGCCAGGACAGGCAGCAAAAAAAAAAAAAAGCAAACTGGCGTGGTATGTTACCATTCGCTACTCTATCTAAAAGTAAAAAAGTTACCCTACATGTACTTTAATATTGTAACACTAACTGGAATTAGGGAAATCTAAAATCTGTTTGGTTTCTAAAGTCTAAACAAACTTTCCTGCCATTTAATATATAGAGTGCACCATAAGGCCAAGCAGGGATTTATGACACATAGCAACATTTAACTAGGTTTGGCCATGCTGTGAAGCGGAGTTATCAAAAGCATATTGCAAAAAAACTACATGGTGGGTTGGGAAAACATTTTTCACTTGTATATTAGATCCACTTTATTATTCATGAATTACTGCCATTTTTTGGGCCATTTTTGTAATTGTGTAACTCCATTTTACCTACCAAACTTAGGTGTGATTTTTGAATACAATATAGGTTTATGAAAACACAATGGCACAATATTATCACTTGCTGGTAGAACCTGGTAGTGCACCAGATAGTTTCAATATTCAGAAATGACTTACCAATTCTGTGGCCAACATTTTTGTAATTTTGGAATTCCATTTTACCTCCCAAACTTAGGTGCGATTTTTGAATGCAGTATAGGTTTATGAAAACACAATGGCACAACATTACCACCTGCTGGTCGAACCTGGTAGTGCACCATAAATGTTCACTCTTCTAGGTGATCTATATGCACTGCAAGGATTTCAGCAAAAAATTTTTGCAGTTATTACCTTTCTCTATTTTGAAGAAATAGCTGTTTCACCATCGTCTTTCCAGACTGATTCCTGAACAGGAAGGCCAGCCTATTATAACTACTTGAGCAAATCTCAGTGTTGTAAACAATAAATCTCAAGTGTCTGCATCCCTTTAGAAATAGGAAATCATTAGCATCATGTCAGCAAAAATTAAACTCCTACTGCAGAGAATGTCTAAAATTAGAATTTTATCCTACTGCAGACTTCTGGGAAAAGCACAACGCCAATCATACAAGCAGGAAAGAAATTACAAGTTGTAGGCATTCCCAGCACCAGTGGTGTATAGAATGCCATATTGGAAGGAAGCAACATTTGACATTTTCCGAAAATCACAATGGTTGCGGATTGACATGAAAAGATGATTTTTTAAAACATTAAATTGCAAAATTGCCTTTGTAGCATTTAGATCTGTTATATTATTTTTTAAAGAAAGTGGAGTTTTACTTTAAAAGAGTTTCTGACTTTTCACTATCATTTAAAATACAAGCTGATGATTGCAGCAGGGAGACCCCACCACCGCTGTAAACTAACAGCGAAATGTTGAATAAAGTATATATAATGACTTTTCAGTAAAGAAACATAAGATGCAAATGAAGTTGTACAAATCACACTGTGATATTATTATACTATATTCCAGCTCTGGTTCTAAGAAAATGAATTCTAGATGTGCCTTTAGGACAGTTTGGGACATAATTAAATTTCTTTTTTTCTACAAATATGTATGTGCCATACTTAAGCTCCTTATTTCTTCACGGCCCTATTTAGGAAGCACTGAACTTTCTTAGGATATTTTGATGAGAATATAATCTATTAAGGATGTTACTACTTCCTTTTTGGGATACTCATGTCAAAACATTCTAGCCCTATATCCAACTATGATCTTAAAAGCAGAATTCCCTTTAGATCGCTCTGGGTGACTGGAGGGCATTCAGAGGGTTGGGACCCAGCTTTTTCAGCGTGGAAAGCAAACTGGTAAGTATTCCTTTGAGCCAGTCAATTAGATTGACTGGTGAAGCAAATCATGGCCTACTTATAGAACCAGTATGTTTTGACTTTGCAAATTAATTCACTGATCTCTAAGTCTTAGCTGGCAAACACACACACAAATGCACCTAAAACCTAATTTTAGAGAAATCTATGTTTGACAGGGTAGATGTGCACTGGCAATTTCAATTTCGGGACCAGCTGAAGGTGAAATAAAATTTGAATGATTTTCTCATTTTCATGGGCCATCCTTTTTAATATTCAGATGTGTCTGACAGGGCTAAATGATGATGTAGAAATGTATCAGTTCATAAGGCATAACAATAGTGAGGAGGGGATATAAATGTAGCTGTTGAATGTATAGTACAATGAAATCAGGGTCAAATTAAAAATATGTACTTGCAGGTGGCAACCGGTTCATTAAGGACATTGAAATGATGATTGGAAAGAAGCATTGGAGTTTTTGGTTATGGTGGAGAGCATGCTGGCTCTTTATATCACCATTATTATTAACAGTAAGTAATAGAAATCATTGGGGCTTGTAAAAAATCTTAGTAAGTAAGCCACATCTGTACTTAATGAGCTTCTACTGCGCTCCACTTCCCTTGTGACTACTGCAGAAAGCTGCAACACCACTTTTAAGATGCTGTTCCATACAGGTGTCTCTGAACTCAATGGGTCTTACATAATGTGTCCCAATCTCTACATAGCAGCTATGGCTTGGACCCCAATGCATAGTGATACATATGTATGTACCAACTGAATTGTTCTGTATTCTATTATCTTGTATCAAGACTGTTTTGTCTTTCGTATGTTGTTCACTATATCAGGCCTTCTTAAACTTTTTCCACTCGTGACCCCTTTTCGTCCAAGGAAATTTTTACGTGAGCCCAGGTATATAGAAAAGGTATATAAATCAAACATTTACTGGTAATAAAAGAAAAATTTGTGTCAGACTGGTTGCATGACAGCATAGTGCCTACAGTTAGGGCTAGTTCACATCATCATCAGTGCGTTGTGGCCGGAACACACTGGATCGCATAGCGGCCGGCTCAATTTGTTGTGGGGCGGGATGGGGCGTGGCGGTGCAGTGAAGTGAATGGCACCTCAGCCATGCCCTCTGGCCCACAATGCGATTGGCCGCACGGGAACGCATGGCACATCAATGCCGGCATTCCGGTCTGGTCAGGTCAGAAAAAAATAGTGCTTGCAGCCTTTTTACTGATGTGCCTTGCGTTCCCGTGCGGCCAAACTGCCCATCGGAGGAAGCAGTTTATACAAGACTGAGAAAATGTAAATCTTGATTTCCAGACAAAGTGAGAGCTCTTGATATACGAGTATTCAGGACATAGAAGTGGCCTTTAGGAGCCCACCTAAAATGCAAAGTGCCCTTTTGGGCTTTCCGATCAGATCCGCCTGTCAGTTTTTCAGGCGGACCTGATTGGAAGCCCAATACTATTCTATGGGCAGCCCGATCTAAACAGATAGGCGTCTGTTTATATCCGGTTACCCTTGGCTTCGGCCAAGTCTGGCAAAACAAATGGATCGGAGTTCTGTTTCTCTGTGCCTAATCGTGCTAGATCAGGGCTTATCTGGTGTAAACGTAGAACAACAAAAACACAAGTCCATTTACATCTGATTTTCAATAGACCAACATGGGTCTGGTATTTTCAGGTAATTTCCTCCATCGCAAACAAACTGGATGGACATGGATGTCACAACAGTGACATCTGTTCCAATCAACAGGGAACCTGTTCAGGAATCCCCTCCTGATCCAGAGATGATAGTAACGAAGATCACCAGCACTCACAAATGGAAGAAATCCAGAAGTTCTCTTTATTGTAGAATGACGTCACATATATCAAAACAGCCAACATTTCGGGACCGTACCGGGTCCCTTCATCACAGCAAGCATAGAGACAATGACAATTTGTGCAGGGGACACCTCTGCGGACGCTCCTGATCCGACTATGTGAAAGGGGCCTTAAGAATACACATATACTGTATGTATCCAGGTCTACTTATTAAAAATTGTAACCATGTAATACAATATATATGGCCCACATACAAAATAATAATAATTTTTTTTCTCTGTCTATTTTCATAGGCTATTCTCTTGTGGTCACTCATTACCTTTGAAGCTCCTTCATATGGCTCCATCAAATATCCTGCTTGGGGAACAGCTCTGGGTTGGTGCATGAGCGCCTTCTGCCTAATATGGATTCCAATTATAGCAATAGTAAAAATTATCAAAGCAAGAGGAAACCTCTTTGAAGTAAGTGATGTAGCATAACAATAACAATATACAATACATGATGGCAATGTACCATTGCTTGCTATACTGGCTTCATTATATTATTGGCTTGCACTGGTTCATATGCATTTGTACTGCTGTCTACAAACTAAAAGATAAATTCAGCTACTATGTAACGTAGTTAGGCAGACTTTTCCCATGCAAGCTGGGAAGTAAAAGCACACATTTCCTTGCTATAACACCAATACTTTCCTTTTTCCCGCCGTTCATATATCAGCCGACATGGTACATTAAAGATTTACCTCAGGAGATTTTAGATTTAACTCAATTCTAAAAAAGCATTTTCAATAAAAGAAATATTGTTAAAAAGATGCTGTTCCTGCCCATCGGAGGAAGCAGTTTATACAAGACTGAGAAAATGTAAATCTTGATTTCCAGACAAAGTGAGAGCTCTTGATATACGAGTATTCAGGACATAGAAGTGGCCTTTAGGAGCCCACCTACAAAGCATTTTCAATAAAAGAAATATTGTTAAAAAGATGCTGTTCCTGCCCATCGGAGGAAGCAGTTTATACAAGACTGAGAAAATGTAAATCTTGATTTCCAGACAAAGTGAGAGCTCTTGATATACGAGTATTCAGGACATAGAAGTGGCCTTTAGGAGCCCACCTAAAATGCAAAGTGCCCTTTTGGGCTTTCCGATCAGATCCGCCTGTCAGTTTTTCAGGCGGACCTGATTGGAAGCCCAATACTATTCTATGGGCAGCCCGATCTAAACAGATAGGCGTCTGTTTATATCCGGTTACCCTTGGCTTCGGCCAAGTCTGGCAAAACAAATGGATCGGAGTTCTGTTTCTCTGTGCCTAATCGTGCTAGATCAGGGCTTATCTGGTGTAAACGTAGAACAACAAAAACACAAGTCCATTTACATCTGATTTTCAATAGACCAACATGGGTCTGGTATTTTCAGGTAATTTCCTCCATCGCAAACAAACTGGATGGACATGGATGTCACAACAGTGACATCTGTTCCAATCAACAGGGAACCTGTTCAGGAATCCCCTCCTGATCCAGAGATGATAGTAACGAAGATCACCAGCACTCACAAATGGAAGAAATCCAGAAGTTCTCTTTATTGTAGAATGACGTCACATATATCAAAACAGCCAACATTTCGGGACCGTACCGGGTCCCTTCATCACAGCAAGCATAGAGACAATGACAATTTGTGCAGGGGACACCTCTGCGGACGCTCCTGATCCGACTATGTGAAAGGGGCCTTAAGAATACACATATACTGTATGTATCCAGGTCTACTTATTAAAAATTGTAACCATGTAATACAATATATATGGCCCACATACAAAATAATAATAATTTTTTTTCTCTGTCTATTTTCATAGGCTATTCTCTTGTGGTCACTCATTACCTTTGAAGCTCCTTCATATGGCTCCATCAAATATCCTGCTTGGGGAACAGCTCTGGGTTGGTGCATGAGCGCCTTCTGCCTAATATGGATTCCAATTATAGCAATAGTAAAAATTATCAAAGCAAGAGGAAACCTCTTTGAAGTAAGTGATGTAGCATAACAATAACAATATACAATACATGATGGCAATGTACCATTGCTTGCTATACTGGCTTCATTATATTATTGGCTTGCACTGGTTCATATGCATTTGTACTGCTGTCTACAAACTAAAAGATAAATTCAGCTACTATGTAACGTAGTTAGGCAGACTTTTCCCATGCAAGCTGGGAAGTAAAAGCACACATTTCCTTGCTATAACACCAATACTTTCCTTTTTCCCGCCGTTCATATATCAGCCGACATGGTACATTAAAGATTTACCTCAGGAGATTTTAGATTTAACTCAATTCTAAAGAAAGGCACTGGTTAGGAGCCCGGGACGTTCTGCTCGACATGCAAGTGAGTTAGGGTTGAGTCGTGAATCAGTGAGAACCATTTTACAGAGAGATTTAAGATTCCATCCATACAAAATGCAGGTTGTTCAACAGCTCAATGTGAGAGATTACGAGCAACAAAAAGACTTTGCTGTGCAAATGCACGTGATCTTGGTTCACACTGATTCACGACTCAATCCTAACTCACCTAACTCACTTGCATGTCTTCGAGCAGACCGTACCGTTCTCCTAACTATTGCCTCTCTCACCCGTGCAATGTTTTCCAGCGTCCTTAAAGCGCAGGCAGGGCCTGGTGGTTTCTTGTTCATAATGTTTCCGGTTGTTCTGAAATGTTCAACAAACCTGAGGACTGTGTTGCGACTGGGAACAGCTCCATGTCACTGGGAACAGCTCCATGTCAACCAACATTGAACATTGATTTCAACATTGAATTCTCAATGAAATAGCTGCTGCGTTGCTGTGATAGACTCACCACAAAGCTGTTGTAAGCAAACAAACGATGTTGTAATGTCCATAGCTTCATTGTGACTGAATTGGCATTCCAGGGGGGGGGGGGATGACACCTAGCTCGTCCCCCTCCCATCACCACTTACCATGTGCTACCGCTTCTAAAAACGTCCGACTCCCATCGGTCATCCTGTATGAAAAACAGTGGTACCTATTATATCTTACTCTCACACAATCAAGCCTCTAATATTGCCAGACCAACAAACATACTCTAAAACCTTTACCATGCATTGGCCAAATGCATGTCCGCTTCCCAACTTTACTCCTTTACAGCATTACGTTAAGCCATAACATGTTAGTGGTTGGGGGTTCCGGGGCCACCTTGTTTCCATTGTGTGTAACCGCAATCTAGTTTATAGAAGTATTGCTAAGAGGTAATAACTCATCAGCTAATAACTTCAATACAACTTATCTTCTATATTTATGTTTTTTTGTGAAGACCTGCAGACCTGCCGACAACTGGGGACCGGCATTAGCCCAACATCGTGGAGAGCGATACAAACATATGCCCGGCACTACCACAGAAAAGGATAATGTAGAGATCCCCACAGTGACTGCCACGATGGAATATGACAATGAGGCCTATCTTTGACCTCTCAGTTGTATGGACTCTCAACAAGTGACTAACAATTGACACTCTCACATACATCAACTCCATGAAATCAGCCAACGATTTAATTCTATGTATAATAAATTACTGAAGTACAATTATATTTTGTTTTTTAGTCAATATTTTAGGATAAGCATATACTGGTATAAGAGAATTCAGAAGATGCATCCTCTATTTGCTTAAAGGAAATTGAAACTCAAGGAGACTTATTTGAGATTATGTGACAGAAAAAAAAATCAATCAACCCAAAAAGTGAAATATTAGTTACCGGTGGGTTCTTTGGTTTGCTTTATGGCTTAGATATCCCTACAGCAAAATCAACCTATTTTTGAGTCTGTCCCTGTCTACCTAGAGTTTGTTATCACCTGTGTTTGCATGATCTAGACCCTGCTGTGGAATTTCTGACCATACAAAGTAAATAGATATATCTACCAAGGAAATTGGGAAATCTCATAATGGCCACAGCAGTTGAGCAGATTCTTGGAGACCTCACTAATAGTCTCCAAGAAAGATAGCATGTGTCTTGGCTGGTGCCCTCTAAGGACTGCCTCCTTTCTTGATAAGCCTTCAGATACCTTTTGACATTATAGGCACTTTGGAAGCGAGAATGTTCCTCTATATGTTTTCTTAGTTTCTAAGCTATCAAACTTTGCTATTTTTCAAGCTCAAGTCAAGCTTGTGATCAGGGGAATGAATGTCAGGTTCAGCGCTAAGTCTTAGAACTTTGCTGATGCAGACACTGAACTTTAATCTGGGTCTAATTATAGAAACATTGTGAAGGGTCTGCTTTATAGAGTATGAAAACCATAACAATGAACTTCTCTTATCTGCTCTCTTTGGTCTGTTAAATATACCAGTAGAAACATTTTGTTATATCTGAGCAAAGACCAAAAATATGCCTACATACAAAAAATGAATAACTGCCCTTTGTCCTGTTCACTGTGACTGTGTTATGCCAATTAGCCTAAATAGCCCTCTCAATTCTTATTTTGGACTACAAAACATGTAATCTGTATGTTTTGGAGATGGAGAGAGGTGGATGGATTTTGCAGGTTAGCAGGTTTGACACCATTTCTTGCAAATTAGGTCCAGAAAGGCACTATAAAGTCAGCTCTCAATAGGAAATTAGATGCTGACTGCATATCTGACAGATAACACAGGTATTTTGTGTATGTTTCAGGGTTTTTGAAGGGTTAAAACCTGGGCAAACATGTATCTATTACAGTTTGCAGTACAGTACTGAATGGGGGTTTTTTTTTTTGACATGCGATTTAAATTTTGATTTATTTAGACTAGCAGACAAAAGTACAGGAGCAGAGTATTTTGTACCATGGTGCTCTACCAACGGCTTATGAGATGGTTTCTGAAATCCTACATGGCTTAGTTTTAAATAATTATTTAAATAGTCAAAATGTTTTCTTATATTGTGCAATTTCCTCTTGTGTTTTTATTCAAAAAATGTAACGAAATTCCAAAATAAACGTCTATTCTAATCACACACATTTTTAGTGCAACAAAACAAACAACTACCAGGGCATGGAAAACCTTATTGCTTAGCTTTTATGAGTTGACAACTAGACTCAATGATATAGTCCACAATTAAAAGATTACTGTCATCCTTTTGGATAAACATGAGAAATTCTTAACAATCTGGCAAACCTGAATCAATTACACCTACCCTAACAACTTTGACCCCACACTTTTATATTTAATACTACATTGGGGCCGAACATCAATGGATCCCCCCTGTTTGAAACAGACCGAGACAGGAACCCCTCTCCCCCTTATATATATTTTTCTCTTTTCTTCTCTTTATCCTTTTTCTCTCAGTTGTTTTATATAGATATGGATTAAAAAACATATCTATATAAAACATATCACAGATCTTTTTTTACCCCACTTATTATTTAGAGTTTTTATGTAGATATGTCTGAAACTTGTAGACATGTGAGCTGGCAAAAAACATTGTTTCCGTTTGTTTCAGATTTTTTGTTATTTCGTTTTTCGGAATTCAGATCCGAAAGTGAGTTTGGTCCGGTATTCGGATTCGTCTGAATCCAAAATTTACGTTCATTTTGGATGAGTTAAACAATACTTACAAACGAAAATGAGTTGCAAAAAGTGACATTAAATGTTTGCTTTTTGCTTTTTAACTTTTGATGGTCCACAGAAATAATAATAAATAAATAATAATAAAAAAAACAGTGTTCAGTTCCCTCCAATTCATACCAGATCCTTCAGGTCTGGTAGGAATTTTAGGGGGACCCCAACGCCAAAAAATTTAAAAAAAGGAGTGGGTCCCCTAAAATCTCTTAACAGACCCTTGATCAGAGCAGCAGCCTGGCAGAGCAGGAAAGGGGGGATGAGCATGCGGCCACCCCCCTCCTGAACCATACCAGGCCACATGCCCTCAAAATGGTGAGGGTGATTTGCAGGGGAGTCCCCCCTTGCCCCCATGTCAATGAGGTCAAGAGCCTCTTTCGCACAACCCTAGCCCAGTTTTTGTGGGGGTCTGAAGGTAGGGGGGCTTATAGGAATGTGGGTGCCCCTTTCCATAAAGGGGGCCCCCATATGCTGCCTCTCTCCCATTAATTAGTATTATTATTATTATACAGGATTTATATAGCACCAACAGTTTGCGCAGTGCTTTACAATATAAGGAAGACATTACAATCACAATACAATTCAAGACAAGATGGTAAGGATGGTAGTTACCCCTACTCATACACCAAATACAGTAAAAAAGTAAATAAACACCGTAAAAAATCCTTTATTTGAAAAAAAAAACTACACAAGATTTTATTGTGTAAAAAAAAAAAGTCCATTGATGTAGATCCATGTGAATCACGATGGACGACGCCAAGGAAAAAAATCTCGCCGTCCTCTAACATGTCCGAACCCAAAGAACACCGGCTGCAAAATGACAGTTCTGCTCCCGAATTCCATAGGGGCGGAGCGAGTCGCGACGTCACAAGACTTGTTCACATTCTGTGGCAGCTCTCGGTCCCCTAATGGAATGTAAACAAATTGGCAGAACAAGTCCTGTGATGGTGCTGCTGCTGTATGTAAGCCAAGCTAATTGTAAAAATTTTTTTTATTTAAACAGCCCAATATGCACGCCTAGTATATGCTATCGTTGAGACTGTCCGTGAAAATAATACTGTTCTGTAACATACAGCGTTAAAGCATCTCCAAGAACCTCAAAGAATTTGTGTATTTTAAATGCTGCACTCAAAGCCACATGAAAAGACTCTCCCCCCACTGCACAGTATGTTTTAAAGCATTTTTTTACATTGGTACATGTCCTCCCATGGCCCTGCCCAGCTTTTTCACAATAGCTTGCCTAATAATCTAAAAAATGGCCAAAACAAGATGTGCCCTCCATTACACCTCTAAGTTCAGGTTTGCCAAATTTTGAGCACAATTTGCAAAACCCTTGACGAATTGAACCTGGTAGACTCACCATCACTATTTACAGGAACAATGCCACAAAACAAAATGCCTGTGTCAATAAGCTTTAATAAAAGAAACAATTTCCTGAGTTATTTGCTGCTTACATATGATGGGTCAGTTACATTTAATCTGTTTACTTACTGCCGTGGAAGTAGTATACAGTACAAGAGCCAGTGAATGCCTGTTTCTACCACAGCCTTATCATTTTATACCTTTAAGTCCTTTTTAGTTTTCTGGATGCCTCTCTTTATCTTTAACTGGACCTCAATGGACCTCAAACTGGAATCCAAATAATCTATAAAAATAAGGCATAGAGTAAAGATGCCAATATATATATACATTGGTGAAATACTTTTCTTTCATTTACCATACACTGGAAAATGGCAGATGGAATTTCATTGATATGCAAAATGCAGATATGTATGTCACGGCTCTCTGCCGTGACAGGGGAGGGGCTGGATTCCCCCTTCCCCGCTCCGATCCGCCAGCGCTGACTGGCGGAACGGATGGGGGAGGGGGCGGCTGCAGCTGGCTCTCCCTCTAGATAGGCAGAGCCAGCTGTCAGTCATGCAGCTGGGTGGATCCCGGCATAATTGGGCGGATCCGCTTCAGCTGCGGCGTCTCAGTATACCACGAGCAGCAGCTCGCGCTATACTGCAGCGTCTCAGTATACCGTGAGCTAAAGCTCGCGGTATACTGAGCCTAGGGTGACGGGAGGACGCTAGTCTGTGTCCTCCCATTACCCTAAGGAGAACTATGGGGAAAAGCCTTAACCCCATAGTTCTCCTTTAATCAACCTTAGAAAATGTTTTTTTGTTACAACAATTAATTGAATCAACAAAGATAACATTTCCAAGTCTTCTCCTAAAGAGGGAGCTATTATCCCACTTTACAGTGTCAACACTGTTTAATCTTGCTTGTGTAGCTATCAAACGTGAGGCAATAATGCTTTTTAGTATTAGACAAACCCCGTACACTATTAAACATGAAAAATGTCTGTAGTGAAAACCTCAAAGAAGTTGCTTTTTGCCAGCAGCAAACTAATCGACTGTTCCCCTTAAAGCTGAACTCTGAAAATTGGATGGCTAAGAAAAGAGCAGATGTAGAATATATCTGTCTCAGTGCAGGTACCACATAGCTGACAGTGACATTTACAGTAGTAAACACCATGCCCAAGAGTCATCTCTGGTGGCTCCAAATAATGGAGACAGCCAAGATACCCTACAGTGTAAAAATTCTTATTGTAGAACCTCACCATTAAACTTTATTCCAGATCAGCTAGAATATCAGTAAGGGACCTATAGGTGAAGTTTAACAAAATGCCTCTAGTACAGCATGCTAATGTCAGGACTAATTGTTCTAGTTCTGATGTGTATTGTAGACTTATGTTCATCAAGTAAGTGTTAGTGGTTGTTACTGTCATTAACATGTACTACAATAGACGTTAGGTAGAGCTGGGGTCCTCAACAATAAACAATGGCTTTCAGCAATATAAAAGTGTAAATTACTTTATTGTGAGAAGCAAACTTTATAACAAATGATCTAGAGGAAATGGAGCTGATACTGTCACAGGCCAGACACATAGGTAAACACACAA